CTTTCCCTTTGACATTCAGCTGCAGTATTTCCCTCCCCAAATAACGCAATTTCATTCTTCTCCCTTATGGACCCAGCTCTACTATTGCTTACTCTGGTGCAAATAAGTGTGGGTGAAAGCATCTTCACTGCCTGTTTTCTTACGATTTCAATCTCCTCAAACCAGGACAAGTGTCTTGCCTTTCCTTGATGCCTAGATGATGACATGACTCTGCTGAGCTGCTGCCTGTCTTCAGTGCAAAGGAGCTGTACCCTCCAGTGCAGCCTAAGCAACCTGGCTCTTGTCAAGTCCCATGTTTTGGGCCTCACCTTTCATTTGCCCTTTAGCCTCTGCATCCTGTCCATTTTATATATGATAGTGCTACTGCTTCTCTGCCATGTATCAGATGAACTTTGCCAGCTGTTTGGTGTTCGCCAACCCACTTGTCCCCACATAAGGGATTAGAGAGAAAATAAGGAAGCATGTGGGACATTTTGCTGTCTCACCAGAAGCAGCAGCCCAGTGCAGCAGAACTTCATCTCTCATGTGGTCCAATATGGTCTGAAGCTGCTGGCAACTCATGCATATTCACTGCCTGACCTGATGCACATCAGAGGTGACAGTCTCACATGTGACAATTGTGAGAGGTTGTTGCTGACATATGGACACCATGCAGAGGGAGCAGGATCTCTTCATCAGGGTCTGTGAGTGAAGTTTTGGTAAAAGACTTAGTCTGTGCTGAAATGAAACACTTTTCTCCATTTTTTTTTGTTCCCTGGGCACCTAATGAGAGCACATAAACTCATTTATACTTTGCCAAGAATTTCGGACACCTGGGGAGATTAGTGTAAGTATTACAGTAACTTGGGAAGGATTAACTGAGGAGGCACGCAATTTTGTTAGGTGTTAGGTCCTGATTAAATGCTCTTTACTGTGTAGTCACATTTTATTACAACTTACATATGTTTGGAACACTGATAGAAAAGAAAGCATGTCACCTATTTACAATCACTACACATTTACATTATATTATTTACAGATAATGGATTTAGTAATATATATGAGCAGAAAATATAGCAAATATCAATATGAAACTGTACAGGACTTAATCTCATGTCCTTTACCGTGGTCGCATTTCACTGTAGTAATAAATACAGTTCTATATTTACACATTTTACTTTAAAAATCTATTAAATGAATTTTAACAATTTCAAGTTTAAAATATCTGATCAAAATATTTCAAACATGCTTATAAAAATAAGACACAAAGCTTTTAGGACTTTCTGCAAGCTAAAAAAGTTCTGATAAAAGAAGCTTTCTTTAACTAGTCTTTAGAATTATAACATTATTTTGCTTCTCAATCACTTTACAAACTTCTTAAATATAGCGAGCTGAAAGGAATTTCACTGATATTCAGCAGTGCAGCACAGATGGACCCCGGGTAAATTAAAGCTAAGTAAACATGGTAATAGGTATTGTGCAATGGCTGACTGATCCTCTGCTTAATCCAAAGTGGTTTCAGGCATCATTCTCCAGCTGTATGCTGCACTGCTTCAAAAGCCACCAGAGATAAAGGATTAAGATAAGTATTTAGCTGACTTTATCACACATAATTTTGGCATTGGTTCATTTTTATTCTTGAAGGATGAACGTGTCAGCCAAAGTCAACTGATGCCATCTGTAACTGCAAAACTAAAAATATGCCAGTGTGAATGGATGAGAAAATCAAGGCATATCCATTGTTGGCAACAAATTCTTCATGGGGAAAATCTGTCCTTTGAGTCCCAGGAAGTTTTATATAGAGTAACAGATGAACGACAGAGATCATCTGTAGCTGATTACCTTAATTACCGGGCTAGCCTGACCTTGGTAATGTTAAAAAATTAGTCTCATTCCTATTAACTGAGCAGTGAGTACTGGGCCATTAAATGTTGCTCCTCAGGGAGCTATTTTTAACATAAAAAAAGGAAAATTTGTGCATTTTCGTGTCTTAAATGATCAGCTTACTCAGCAAAAGGTGACAGCTCTGAGAAAATAATACTGGAATATCTCCTGATGGCTTGGCCAAAGTCAAAGACTGATATTCCAAGGAAGTGAAGGTGGCTCTGTTGTCTGAGATATTTTTACAGTAGACTTGGCAAAGACCTTAAGTCTCTTCTCTCTAACTGGGATGCTTCTGGTGTGTGCCTTGATTCAGCAAAGTATTAGCAGATCTAAAGCCAAAGAGGAACTCTCTGTTAATCTAACCTGTTCCAAAACCAGAGCCATCAGAAGTCCCTGAATTCCAGTAGCAGCTCCTATACTTTTTTTTAGGCAATATATGCAATTTGAACGTAAACATTTTTGGTGACACATAGTTCCACTAGCTAATGACCTTCCCTGTAAACAATTTGCACTTTTATTTCTATGCTGCATGTCCCTAACGTCAACTTCCAGTGGATCTTCTCAGATTCCTTTCCTCTTTGAGTGGTCTGCTCTCAAACTCGTGTTTCCCAGAAACAGCTACTTGTAAACTGTGACCAAATTCCTTTTTTCTTAAGCTGCTTTAACTTCATAATAATAATATCCTTTCCAATTTCATGATGCTCTTTACAGCATGTGAATGCAAAAACTGTTTGAAATATCTCAGTAGTGCTTGTATCAGTGCAAAGAACACAGATCATACAAGCTCTTCACCCCCACCTGATACTGCTTTGGCGATCCTTAGCCAAAAGGACACAGTGGCCTCTAAATCTTTAGCTGATTAGTGACCATGAACTAGAGGCTTTCACAGGACAGAGATCATGCTACGAGCAGGAGTATAGTTTCTATTCCTAGACAAACGACCTTCAATGAATGTTTCTATATGAGTGTCTTTGCTGTCCTTTAATTGTCCTCAGGATACCTGTTGTTTTGTATTTATGACTTTCTATGTAGTATTTTCCACCCTCAAATTCTATGAGTCATCTGCCAATTTTATCAGCAATAATTATGGGAGTGATTCTACTGGCATGGTAGGAATTCAGGACCAAACTGTGCAGAATCTCACTAGAAAAATATCCATGTGACAATGGCTTGCCATTTACAATTGCATTTCAGGTGCTTAATGGGATCTTGATTAATTTCTTTCATACCGCATTAATTTTGCAAATTTAGCTGACAATTAAAAATGCTTTGGCAAGTCAAATGACTTCTAAAAACCAAACCCAATGCTAGTTAAACTATTAAATCAGCTTTATCAAACATGGAACTTCATCAAAGTCTAGAACTTCAACAGGACTACTCTTCCACTTAGATACTCTGCTGAAAGAGGGCCACACACAGACTCTCATAAAAATGATCACGGCACTGAAAAACTATAATTGAAACTGAATTACAATAATTGGGGGAAAAAAAAAACCCAACCCCTGAAAACAAACTGTACCAAGTGATGCTTTTTAAAAAAGGCTTACCAATTTAATGTGGTATTTTTGCTCTTGAACAACTGATGCCTTTTTTGAGTAGTGCTACTTTAAAAGAGAGCAGCTGATACAACTGCACAAACTGCACCAGCTTTCAGTTTGTCTCTTTGTCCCAGCATTCCAGAAGCAGGCTGAGAAGGCTCAAGTATAGGATTTTCAGCCTGCTGCAACTTTTGCCACTGCCTGTTTTCTGATGTGTGTAACAATAAATCAGAGGCACTCTCGTGCTTGTATACACACACCCATACTTACTTTCAGGATTAAAAAAAATTGTAAACATAGGTATTTTCTGTACTGCCACTGAAACTAGTGACATGGAACAAACGCGACTGACGAAAGATTGCAGCTTTCTGTCATTTGATAAGATGATGGCATTAGTGAATTGCTGGCAGGCATGTCGTATGATATGCTGGCACTTGTGAAGGTCACCAATGCTTGTGTTGAGTCACAAGATTGTTTTTCTAAGTCTTCTGAATTTACAGAGATCAGACTAGCATGTTTTGATCTCCTCCATAGCAAAGTTTGTTTTCGCAGACTTCCCAAGTCCTCCTTAAAGTGTGGATTGAAAAGTATATAAAGGAGTGGGTTTAGACATGCAGGCAGTGGGACAATCACCAGCAGTATTGACTTAATCACTTCTGGGCTGATAAAAGTGAGGTTTAGCAAGGAGGAAAAAGATAAGAAGGCCACAGGGCAATAAAGAATGCAATTAGTAAAAAGCAGCAATGCTATATGTTTGACCATAGAGCAATCCCAAATGTTGTCTAATTCTCCCTTTTCTAAACTACAGTAGAGCTTTGTGTATGCAATAGTCATTAATAGGAAAGAAATGGAGTTCAGC